ATATATATATATATATATATACATATATGTACATAAAAATTAATGTGCATATATATGTGCATATATACATATATATATATATATATATATATATATATATTCACATTTGTAATAAAGGTCTGTCTTAAAAAGATCAGTGTTAACTCGCTGCACTGTATTTGTTTTGTGTGTGATTTGTGTTTTCTTACGCTTCGACAAGCGCAGCATTATCGAGAACAAAGGTGAGTACAGGCTGTAAGATATGTTTTTGATGCAGAAGCTGTATAGATGGTTCTAAGGCATAGATAAGGAGAGATGAAACGAAAAGAATAAAGGCTCTCTTAGTTGCTTTATCAACAGTCTTATTCTCCTTCTGCTCCTTTTCTACCCACAACCAAACCAATTCTAAAGATAAACTTAATACCCAATCAACTGAGCGCTTTGCTGCAGACCCTAGCAGCAAAGCAGACAGCAGCTGAAGCCCCATACACGCCTCTACCTGAAGAGAAGAATAAACAAAATAGCGATAATAATCAGTTAAAATAAATTATTGTTTAAGCAGAGAGGCAAGCAAGCAAAATATCAGTAATAATCATGCACAACGCAAAATACACTCAGAAAAAAACAGAAGAAAGCGATAAAAGACAGCAATTAATTTATTCTAAACTTAAAAAGAATAAAACAAAAATACAAAAAAAAGTTAACAGAAAAACACAAACAACAAAACAAAACAACAACGGCAGCAGCAACATCAGCAGCAGCAGCAAGAGCAAAAAAATCAGCAGCAGCAGCAAAATCAGCAGCAGCAAAATTAGCAGCAGCAAGAGCAGCAGCAGCAAGAGCAGCAGCAACAGCAAGAAGAAGTAATAATATAGTTTGTTATAAAGGGGTATTTACTTCATCAGCATCTTGAATGCAAATCTGTGCAATTCGAAATATGCATTCAGGATAAGGAATTCCTTCTTCTGTTGCACCCTTAACAAATGAATCTTGATCTCTTGCAATAAAGTTACTAAAGAGAGGAAGCATTTGTTCTAAGTGATCTGAAGCCCAGCCACACTCTATCCCTTCACCTATCTGCTGCTGCTGCTGCTGCTGCTGTTGCTGTTGCTGTTGCTGTTGCCCACAGACAGCTTTAAATAGAATGCTGAAATACCCCCAGAGCTTTGGAGTAAAAGGAGTAGGAAGATAAAAAGTCAGATAAGATAAAATAGATAAAGTGTCTTCTAAGTGATCAACGCAGTTGGGAGCCATCAGTGCATCGAGAGCGGGAAATAAATGAGGAAGAATCTCAACATACACCTGAGGCGTCTCTGTTACTGTACCTAGCACCCTGAACACCAGCAGCAACAGCAGCAGTAATAGCAGCAGTAGTAGCAACAACAGCAGTAGTAGCAGCAACAATGGCAGCAACAGCAGCAGCAAGAACAAGAACAACGGCAACAGCAACAAGAACAGCATAAGAAACAACACCCTCAGCAGCAACAACACCCGCAGCAGCAACAACCCCCGCAGCCGCAGCAACAACGACCCTCGCAGCACCAACAGCAGCAACAAGTAGGAACAGCAGAAGCAAGTAGCAACAGCAGCCACAAGTAGAAAGCGGTTGTGCATCCTGATATCCTACAGAATGTGCACATCCCCTTTAATGCCTTTATGTTTATTCAAGCAAATCATATATATGTGCATATAGTGGCTAGCTAGCTAGCTAGCTAGCTAGCTAGCTAGGTAGGTAGCTAGGTAGGAGGGGTTGGAGTGTATAGGGAGTGTCTTACGTTTTAAGGGTGCTGAGTACAGCAATAGAAGCGAAGCTCGCATCATCTTCTGCATCTGTATCTCTGTTGATTTGTGCTGCACCTTCTCTATCAAGCATAGCGAGAAGAGCATTCGTAAGTGCAGCAGTAAGATGCTGTGCTAGAGGGGAGATATGGTCTTCATGGGTTATAACGAGGTGCTCAACTGTACATACAATTTGATCATTATCAATATCTTGCATTAAAGCAAATAAGCGCTCTACCAATATCTGAAGATTATTTATAATAACTTCTTGTAGAGGTTCTAACTCTATATCAAAAAACGCCTTTATAGATACACCCGCTTGCACTCGTACAGGGAGCTCAGTGTCTGTAAGAAGAGAAACCATACGATTAAATGCTTCAATAACAGCAGCAGGCTCTCTCCATTTCTCTACTCTATCTAAATAGACTTCATATACCCAACAAGCTCTTAACCGAAGAAATTTATTACTTGCACACAGATCAGGAAGTACAAAAGAAGATAAAAACTCTTCTACAGGTGCTCGTCTCTTCTTAGATGCAAGACGATCGCATACTGCACCCGCAAGAACTAACGCTCCATCCTTAGCACAACATATTTCAGGCGATATTGCTGCTGCTGCTGCTGCTCCTCCTGCTGCTGCTGCTGCTTCTGTCGCCTGCTTATACTCCGTGCACACGCGGTGTACAGCCACAAACATCGGCTCCAAAAAATCTTTCGCACGATACCGCACCAAATTCTTCACAAACTCTATCGCTGCAGCAACAACAACAGCAACAACAGCAGCAACAAATGCAGCAAATGCAGCAACAAAAAAAGCAGCAGCAGTAAATGCAGCAGTAGCAGCATCAACAACAGTGAATGCAACTGTCCCGACAGAGACGAGAGAGAGAGAGAGAGAGAATTAAAACAGCAGAGAAGAGTGATGCACATTACAGAACAAACAAAACAAACAAAACACAGCAACGAGCAGCGAGTAAAACAAAACAGACAGAAAAGAGAAGAATACAAACAATGCAAAAGAAAAAAAAACAAAGAAAGCAACAGATAACTCATAGTGCCATACATTATTAAAAAGCATTATTGATAATAAAACCCTAGAATAATAATTATTAAAAGATAGAATATATATTTAAATATATAATAGTATATATTATAGTATTATATAGCATATATAATAGTATAAACAACAACAATAAAGATAAGGTGTATGTACAGTCGAACCTGCTTCTCTTGGCTGAGAGAAAGCCTCTAAGGGGTCGTTCTGTCTTCGAATAAATTCAACAGGTTCTGCTTCCCAGGTGTCTTCATCATCTTTGGAGTAATGCATTAAAGGCAAGCAAACGTGAAAAACAAGAAACTCTCCTTGAGGCTTTATTATTGGGGTGTATAGGGAAGCACTTTCAACAGCACGAGATAAATACTGCAGCGTTAGATTCAGCATACGAGGAGACAGCCACACCACCTGCTGCTGCTGCTGCTGCTGCACGTGCTGCTGCAGCAGCAGCAGCAGCTCCTCAGTTAATCTCCTTGCCCAGTTATTGACGAAGTGCTCTCCAAAGGCTCTCGCCATTGCATCTTCATCTTTCTCTGTTTTTCTTCTTTCTCTTTTCAGCATCTTCTGATCTCCAAATCGAGTAAACACTCGCTGCACAATTTGCAAAGCCCACTTCTTCGCCTTATACACCTGAAGCTGTCCTCGTTCCTCAGCAGAAAGACCCGCAAGCATAGAAGCAGGCACTGCAGCAGCAGCAGCAACAGCAGCAGCAGCAGGGGAGACATGCGAACGTTTTCGTGATATATATATATATATATATATATATATATATATATTTGTAGGGTGGATAAACGAATGTGCTCAAACATACACATATATTCTATAAAGCATATATGAATATACATATATATTTAGATATATAAATGTATATATATATATACAAACGTACATGCGTATATACATATAAAGGCATTCCTACATATGTATATAAATAATATATAAATAAATATATATGTAAAATATATGTATATAATATATATAATATATATATATATATATATATA